TATAATAAATGCCACGGAGACTTATATTAATAGATAAGTATCATTTGATTGATGCAATCACATGTATTTACCTTGTTAGCGTTACAATACATGAAATTTGATCTACATATAATAAATGTGATTATGTCAACTTATCTTACCTAAATTTAATACTATCCTTGAGGAATATAATATGCTTAAAGATAACTCAAGTGATATTATTATAAGGGTGGAGTTAATACGTGTTGTACTCTTTTTCTCTTAATCGAGGTTTTGTCCCATTAGGTTTTCTTGGCTAGATTTTTAATGAAATAACTTTTGCATCGTACTCAAAATAATGATGAACGTTTTTTCTTCATTAAGATTTTTCATGCTGAAATTTTTGTAATAATATTGTAATGAGGCATATTCTTTGTGTGATGAACGTCCATAATTTGCAAGACATTTACCCTCAATATAATACTTTGATGTGTATGAAACTCTTGAAAAGATTACCAAGAGCTATTTTTCTGAATTTACCCTGTTAATACAGTCATTAAAGTTTATAAATATCTCATATCAAGACAGTGTTATTTGACAATCATACAAGACAACATGAAATATATTTTACAAGAAATTGCAATATTGAAGACATTGATGTACGAGACATGGATATCTTGACACAAGAATTTTCACGTATGTAATCAAGCATATTCTTTTTCCTTCGATCAAGTTTTGTCCCACAGGATTTTCTTAACATGATTTTAACAAAGCAGCATTTTATCACTCCAAATTTTTTGTATTTTTTTCATTTGTTGGCATTTTTATCCCATTGGATTTTTTTACCTAACAACGTTTCAATGATATTGTTATTATGCAAATAATCATCAAAGGAGGAGTGATGTAAAATAATGAAATAATTATTGATATTTTTTAATATTATTATGATAAATAGATAGGTCTTATCTAGTCTATTAAATTTATTTCATTACAATTGTAATTTTTGTTTTGAACCCTACAAATATAGGGCATTAACTTTTAATAATACTCACAACTCTATTGACTCATTTCATCTCTTTTTTTCTCTCTAATTTATAACATAGCGTTTTATATTATGTCAGCTTATTTTTTATTTCATTATTATGTTCCCTACTTAAGTTATGTTAACACGATGCAATGATATGAAGAGGGTAGTTTATATTTAATTGCAACTTTGATATTGAATCCAAATAAGAATTCTCACCCCCCGCCCCCCGCCCCCCCCGCTGGCTCTTTTGATCCCCGTCTTCGTGGTCAGACCTAAATGCATGAATAAAAAAAGGCAATCCCAAGTAGACTTCAAGAGCTCTTGCATTGCCATTAGGGATGGCAAAAAACACTCGTTCAATCCAATATTCGTGGGCCCCGTCCCAAATGGGGTGGGGACTACCCTCCTAACCAGGTACATGGGGCGGGTACGGGGCAAGGGTGATTGTCCCAAAACAGGTATAGAGCCTGTTTTGGAGTGATTCTTTCTCCCAAAAAAAATTGATTTTTTTACTGTTATTTCACTAATTCAACTGTCATATTTGACTTCTTCTTTCACGGTGGACCCCACTTTTCTCCTAACTGTCAAAAAATCAATTTTTAAAATCATACCCAAACAAGCTCATAGGATGGGTATGGATAACATAGTCCCCGCTACGTTACCCTCCCCGTTTAATATTAATTTCAAATTTATATTTTATCAAACAAAAATAATATATTTATCATCATTTCTGAAGAGAACAAATTATTTTTAACAAATTGGTAAAAAAGTAATAATATTTACTAGCTAAAGACATAAAGAAAAAATAAAGAAAAAATAAATGGGCAGGAGACTTGCCCCGATCTCTTCCCAAACCAGCTTTAATCGGGTATGAATATGGGGTCAGATAACAAAAATATTCGATGCGACGAGGGTGAAAATAACCGACACGTCTCATACCCACCCCCTTGCCATCCTTCTCTTTTGTTAATTGATTTTACTCATTGTTTCGATATACCCCTCTATACCTTGCCTTCTCAATTTTTTCCTTCTTATCACGTCTCAAACTTCTTTCATCTCATGCAAAATTAGTAATTGTTAGTTGATTGTTATAAAAGTGGAAATTAAAATCAAATTTTTAGCATATTTTGATAAAAGTTGAAGAAATATGTGTTTAAAAAAGTTATAAATCATGTAAAATATATGATTAAAATCAATTGTTGATTTTGACTTAAATTAAAATCTAAAGCTAAATGAGATCTTTTCATTGTCTAAATTCGAAAATCTATCCACCAAACAAAAAGAATATTTCTGACCCCTTTTTTTTCCCTTATCCTTTAGCATATCCTTGTAGCTCTCCCTCGCCAAATCTTCAAGAAAAAGAAAAGGAAAAAGCTCACCTTAATTATCGTCTAGCTAAGACTTGTCTGTCTTATTAATGAAATTGAAGATACTTTATATCAAGACCTATATTCACATACATGTTGCACAACAGAACAAGATTTGATTTGCTAATAGTATCAATCAAGCCATAAATCCTTCAAGTAAACAAAGGGGTTTGATTTGTAAAGCTAGTTGATCTATGAGTTGGAGGCATTGGAGGCTTCGAATTCCTCCTCACACAACCACAAGAACCTGATCTTGATGTCTTCTTTGGATTAATTCTTGGAGCAATCTTGCTTCTCGAAGGCCGCCTACCCCAGTAGCACCCTTCTAAAATTCCTCCGTCACTTTTGCACGATTTTAGCTTCTTTTTCTAATTATAAGGATTCTCCGGTTTTGCAAGGTCTTCTAAGCACCTCACGTTTGATAAAGAAGTAAAAGATTGTGACTTGCCATTGTAATGCTCAGAAAGCCCTCTCCTGCAAACCAAAAACCACACTGTCAACATATATACTTATAGCTTATAAGTAAAATTTTACTTAAATGAATCTTAATAACTTACTTGATGGGAAGCTGTTGAAGCAAAGAAGACATGTCTTGTAAAGAGCCATTTGCATGCTGATCAGATGAGTTTGCTTCTTCAAATAAATCAGATTCAGAAGAAGTGCTAGAGGAAGATGAAACACAATCTTGAAATTTTTCTTCATCCATGATCCAATTCTTGTTTTCTGTGTTGAAAAAGGACTCCATTTTTATAAAGTTCGTCATCATCTTAATATTCTTCAATATGTGTAATTCTTGGCTCATTCCATTGATCCACCCACCATGCAGTTATATATTAAAAATTGTTGGCCCCCTGGGTATAGCCCAGTGGTGCAAAGGACAGGAGTGAAGTTATCTCACGTCTTGTTGGTAACTGCAGTGTGCGGGTTCGATTCCTGATATATGAAATTGGACTCCTTGTAGGCGCAGTGTACAAGCAGCTCTTGTTTCCTGACCTGCTGGGTCACATCCAGTGATTTATCTCCCTTACAAAACTCTAGGGACGGGACGGTGGGGGCCCTCAAGGTTGAGGTTCAACCTTTTTATATATATTAGAAATTGTTGCCCTCGGGACATAGTCCAGTGGTTCAAAGGACAGGAGTTAGATTATCTCACGCCTTGTCGGCAGTCGCAGTATGGGGGTTCGATTTCTGAGACATGGAATTGGACTCCTTGTAAGCGCAGTTTACAGGCAGTTCTTATTCCCTGACCTAGTGGGGCACACCCCGCGATTTACCTCCCTCACAAAACTCTAGGGACGGGATCGTAGGAGCCTTCAAAGTTGGGATTCAACCTTTCATATATATATATATATATATATATATATAATAGAAATTGTTGCTAGAAAAATTTATGGGTTGATGGATAAGAAACGCTGGGAAAATATGTACGAATGATTCGATCAGGGTTATCCAGTTTCCCTTTTCTGTCCCCCTTATCTTAAAAATAGAATTAATGCAAAATTAAGGCCGACAACCTTCACAGAGCGTGAAGAGGACTTCACAATCAATTTTTTTCTCTTTTCCTGTTTTTTGGGTTTAGACCAAATGTTTTGACAGCCATTAAATTAAAACTTTTTTTCCCATCAAACTTAACTTTGATCACGTTATCCCAATAAAATATTTTGCGTATAAATTCAAAATTTTTTCTGCTTTATAATCACATATTATCCAAAAAAATTACTTTCCAAAACTCATCCCCCCGCCCAACAAAACTCTTTTTAATTGTTGTCAAACAAGGCATTAGTTTCTTCTCGATTTTTTATTTTTTTATTTTTATTTTATTTTATGTGTGTGTGAATTTTTTGGATATATCTTTAACTTATCATGTCAAACACTTTATCAAGAAGTTTAAATTTTTAATAGAAAACAAGTGTATTAAGTTAACTTTTTCAAAGTTCAATTAGTTTGAAGTAATTCCTTCATCTTGACTAATATAATTTGAATTTGAACATATTATAAATGTTAACTTTTACTTGAAATTTTTTTATATAAAAATTATTGAACCATTTATTCATAAACAAGACTGAGACTTTTGAAAAGTTAAAAGACGTTTTCACGATTTAAAATTATTTTTAAACATGTTTAAATAATTTTTTGAAAGTGTTCCAAACATTGTAACAGTTGAACCAAAATGTTTATAGGAAATACATTAATTTTGAATTAAACTTCAACTCCAACCATTTTTTTATGAGCAATGCTGGATGTACAATGATTGTTGACAACATACCACGTGACATGTTATCATTGGACAATTTTTAAAAACAATTCATTTTTTTCAACTAACACTAACAAAATATTGTACAAAATAGATTATTATTATTATTATTATTATTATTATTATTATTATTATTATTATTATTATTATTATTATTATTTGACTATTCAAGAAAGACTTAAAAGTTTCAAGTAATTAAAAATAATATGGTCATTGATTCCTCATTATACAGCTAGTGATTATTTATAATTATTAAAAATTTTATTTCCATCTAATTACGTGAAAGTATTAACTAAATAAACTATTAAACTAACAATTCCGCTACAGTGATCGAAAACGATTAATAGAAGAGGTGATCAACTTCACAATGGCAGGGCCCACTTTTTTGGATTTTTTTTTTTTTAATTCATGAAAGACCCACGCGCAGGTAAGAAGATGTTAATCATTTTGACAAAAAAATTCGGACAAACCAACAAAATCCTAAACTAAAATACATAGGAACCCATTAGATATTTATATGGTGGAATAATATAGACCAGGTGGACCGGGTTCAAAAGGTTTCTATACACAACGTGACAGAGATAAAGCGCGTTTGCTGTGAACTTTATCCAGAGAGTAGTGTGGATAGAACACTTCACTTTCATTATTGCAATTTATCCAACAAAAATATTCATTATTTCTTCTTCTTTTTCCTATGGGCGCTAGCTGTTTGTACCATTTAGGTGCCTCATGAAATAAAAAGAGATAACCCGTGGGTCCATTTGACGTGGAGATAGGTTTTCGATTCGTGAATTGAAATATCATACTAGGAGACTCGAAGCTTTTAAAAAATCAAAAATTAATTGTGAAATTATTAAATTTGAATATGTTTGAATAATTTTTTTTAATATTTTGTTAAACGAGAAGAATTTTTAGAGAAAGTTAACTTACAATAATTTTCTCGGAAAGTTCTTCTACAAAAAATAGAAGTAAAAATGAAGTCCTGCCAAACGAAGCATTTAAATAATGCTATATAAAGATGTTGGATCGTCTACAGGGGCGGATCCAGCCGTTTTGGGTTGTGGAGTTAAAAGTTTAAATACATTGTCTCTTTTGTTATGGTCGATCATTTCGCACACCATTAAGAAGCGAAAAATTAGGTCATGAATGCTTAGAAATGATATTAAGAATGCAATATTTTGTTTTTCATTTGGTATCTATTAAAATGGGTTAAAAACGAGTTAAAACAACCATTTTTTGAAGAAAAAAAATTGTGGGGTCATCTGACCCCATGTGGGTCCACCCTGATCGTCTATAATTGTTCAATGAATTAAAATTTGTCCCACTTTTGGTAAAATCTCATGTTCACCTAACTTAATCCTAAGCACAATCGGTGCCAAACAGCATTACACCAACTCCTTATAACAACACGAAAATATGGTTAACTTCATCATTTGTTGTTCAAATTTTAGTCAAATCTCGATTAGGTTATAATATTCTTATTTATTTGAAACGTTTCATTGAACTTCAATTTAATTTTTAAAAATTGTCATTTAATTTAATTTACTTTCAAATTTAACCATCGCTCATCTACCATCTTCCAAACTGATTAGACAGTTATATCACAATGAATTTTCCACATAATTACTACATGATGTATCTATTTACCACTCCCTCACGTTAGAAAAGCGTTAAAATGCATAACCTTTCATTTTAAATACTTTGGCACAACCCATAGAGGAGAAGAAAATATCGTTTATTTCGAAAAATCTATAGATCAAATCCGATTATTTCTTTTTCTCTTGATTCTTTTTTCAATCGAGATGTATAGATCTTGTTCATGGATTAAAAGGAATTATATGCAGAAGCTGAGAAGTCTGTCAGTGCCACAAATATTACAATGGCCATCAAGCTAAAGTTCAGCGGTTTTATGCACTATGCACTATGCACTATGCACTATGCAGAAAGGCTTTCTTAAAATCATTTTACATTGTCGGAATAAGTAAAACCTCTAATGTTATTTAATGAAGTCTCTGTCAAAGACCAAAAATAATCATGCAGCCAAGAAGGTCCTAGAAGCATCACGAAGCAACTCATGCACATGCACAAATGAAGTAGATTCCAAATTCTGTTATACTAACAAATTCTCCCTGACACTTGTATAGATTAGTTACAATGAATTGTATATATATAGGTCATCTCCCCCTTTCAAAATACATAGCCAAAAAATACAGAATGTAATGTTTTTTATATTTCATAAATTCAACTTCATTCATCCCCTTTCTTCTACAATCTGTTGTTATTTGATTTATGGTATCAGAGCAAGGATGGCTGACAACGATGGTGATAGTATCAACACAAATGAAAACCAAAATCAAACAATACCTCAAAACACAAATTCAAATACAAATCCTCATGATCCGTCCCTTCCCAACAGTCCATACTTCATTGGAGCAAATAAAAATTCAAGAACATTGCTTGTTACATAGATGCTTGATTCCAGTAACTACCATTTTTGGGCAAGTTCCATGAAGAGGGCTCTGCGAATCAAGAATAAACTTGGCTTCATTGATGGCAGCATTTGTGAGCCAACTGATATAGATAGTTCATTGATAGAACACTGGCTTCGTTGTAATGATATAGTTATCACTTGATTGCAAAATACCATGGCAGTAGACATTAAGGCAAGCACTTCGTATGCTGAAACAGCACACCAACTTTGGCTGGAATTAGAACAACGGGCTCAACAAAATGCTCCCAGGATTTATGAAGTCAAGCAAAGCATCGCTGGACTGCTGCAGGGACCGGATAATGTGAGTACCTATTTTTAAAAACTGAAGACACTACTTGATGAGTTAATGAATTATGAGTCTATTCCTAATTGCACCTGTGGAGGGTTGAAGACAGTTGTAAGTAACCAAGAAATAGATTGGATAATGAAATTTCTCATGGGACTCAATGACTCCTACAAATTGCTCAAAGCTCAAATCCTGCTAATCAAGCCATTTCAAATTGAATGAAGTATACTCCACAATTCGACAAGAAGAGAAGAGGAGGGATATTTCCACTGATATGCCTAGCACTGAAGGGATGGCACTCGTGTCAAAAACTGTCCCCGAGAGGCAGAAAAGAGAAATCTAGGGCCTCCAAAAAGGTATTACTGCACTTTTTGCAAGATACGAGGTCATTCACTAGAAATGTGTTTTAAGGCAAATAAACAAATCAGTCTGCATACATTGCCAAATGCCTGGGCATACTATCAACAATTATTTTAAAATCCATGGATATCTACCAGGCCACACGCTCTATGGAAACCCGCAAGCAAATCTTGCTTCCACAAGCTAGAAATCTCCGCCTATGGTGCCTGCACAGGAGCAAGTTGGTAACAGGAACCAAGTTGGTTTGACTCAAGATCAGTATACTCAGTTGATAGCTTTACTCAAACCACCAATCAACCAGCCTGATACGTTACCTACTAGCCATGTTCAGGGTCTAAATTTACTTTCTTCCAAACACATAGATACATCTCAAGTTTCTTGCACCTACACGTGTTCATCTGCTTACAGGGTAGAGAACAAAATAAGTTCCAGCATACCTTGGGTTATGGATACAGGAAGAGCCACAGACCATATGGTATGCTCAGTATCCTTTCTCACAAATATCAAATCCAAAATCTCACAATCTGTTGCATTACCTAATGGAACTATGGCATTAGCTACTAATATAGGGAGTGTTAGAATCACAGACAATTTATTACTCCGTAATGTCTTATGTGTTCCATCTTTCTCATTCAATCTCATATCTGCTAGAAGATTAGCTCAAGGATCTAAGTGTTGTCTCATTTTCTCTTCTGATTCATGTTATGTGCAGGACCTTTCAACTTGAAGGACGATTGGTCTCGGTGAAGTGAGAAAAGGCCTTTACCATTTGATGCCAAAAGAAGTCTCTCCCACAACTCTTGTTAATGACTTACCAAAATTGAGTAACCAAGTCGTTCTGTCGGCTGCCACTAATGTTAGTTAGGATGATTTTGATTTGTGGCATTTCATATTAGGCCACTTATCAGATTCTAGGTTGCACTTAACCAATTTACATCAATGTTTGGAAACAAAACACAACAATAAACACTGCCCTATTTGTCCCTTAGCAAAATTACATAGGCTGCCTTTCAATATTATCCAACACAGATCACAAAATTGTTTTGACTTGATTCATAATGATTTATAGGGGCCTTGTAATGAAATTGCTTATGATAGATCGAAGTACTTTCTTACAATTGTTGATGATCACGGCAGGTGCACTTGGGTTTATTTGCTAAAATTGAAGTCTGATGCATCTATTGTTTTACAAAATTTCTATGTCATGATAGAGGCACAATTTAATTCCAAAATAAAGGTTGTTAGAACTGATAATAGAGGAGAATTTAACTTGAAACAATTCGTCCAGAAAAGGGGATTATACATCAAACCACATGTTGAGACTCCCCAGCAGAATGCCATTGTTGAAAGGAAGCACCAGCACATGTA